ATGGCATTGATCAATCAAACAACACATTTAATCAACAAAGAACGTATGATCCATGGTGTGTAAAATAAAATTATGAGTCTGGTATTCTTGTTTTATATAAATAAAATTTTTGTTTGAAAAATCATAGTTTTATACTCCATGGGGTTTACGAAAACTACTCCCTCTTACACATCCTTGATTTACTTTTCTTTGATATCGTGTAAGCACGTGTAATGTGGTACGGTACGACATAGATATTGCTGGGAGTAAAATGTTTCCTGTTCACAAACAAATACAAAGTGTATATCAACTCTAAATTCATAATGGTGCTTATCTCAAGTCCGTAACTCATTAATATTGTTACAGTACAGTTAAAAGTCTTCCCAACTTACTATTATCGTAGTACTTGTGCAAAAAGTGTCTATAAGATGTTTACCTCTTAAACATTAATCATATAATCGAGAATGGCATTTATTATTATATTTAATTTAATAGCTTTACAAAGTATTTAGAAAGGCTTGAGAAAAGCTCCCTATAATTAAAATTAAATGACTTTTCTTATCATTTAGACTCATGTTTTGAATTTATGTGTTCTTATTTAACTTTTAAATTTAACTTCACTGATATAATAACTACGAGCTAGTGTGTATCAGCTGACCCTCCGATTTTATTATGCATGACAATTATAGGATTATTCGTGTTTGCATTCTTTTAACGCCGTTTTTCTTTTAATATGGAGGCGTACGCAATATACTGTTACTATATGGGGTGTATGAAGGTTGAATTTCAAAGTTTACATCGCAGATGAGTGCTGAACCATCTATGTCACTGAGCCCAACGTGAGATCAAGAGGCCTCAGTTTCAACCGAGGTAGAATCGTAGATATGCGCTGCCGAGGAATCCCTCACCAGAACGAAACAACTATCCAGAGCTTCCTGGTTTTCTTCTGCTGTCAAACTAAGATTAGTCTGTGATGTAAATCTTGTAATATATTGTGCTGTTTTCTTGAGTGTGTAGTAAGTGGAAATACTTTAGTTGAATTTGTAGTTATACATACTTTATCGCAACTATTGGACAGTTATAAAATTCTCAGAAGATATGAGTACATATTACTCTTGATTAGGTAGATGAAATTGAGTAATCTATGCAAAATACCATTGAACATAACAGAGAAATAGGAACAAAACCATTGTATGCTCTCGGGTTTTTCTGACCATACCTTCTCTTTACTCAAGTCTACTTCTGTTAAAGTAAAAATACGGGACTGATCATTTAGTAAACCTAGTTATTTACAGATATTTTAACAGTTGATCAAAAAAATCATATTTCTAAGCACAGTCCCTACGTTAACTAGCTATGGTCTACAGTAACATATAATCTTTGGCAGATAGCATCCAGAAGTGTGTAATTTGCCCTTATTTTGTAACATGATTAGTATGAAAAGTAGACAGAAACTCAAAGAGAATTAAACAACAGGGAAATATTGAAGGACAACCAATGTGCTGAAACATTAAATCTCAAAGATGATTTTGTAGTCACTTCAATTATTCAAGTGTGATTTGATGGGAACATTACCAACTTGACGCTGATACGACCTAAAAATTGGTAAACTTTTAAATAAATCTTTTTTTCAAAACAAGCGTACGTTTGAAACAAAACTCAGTTATCCATTTCAAATTAAACTTAAAACTCTAGACTACTAAACAGATATATGAGTAGGTTTTTTGTATTGTCCCAAACACTAACTTCAGTTTGCGATCTCATTTCGGTACTTTACAGTCATACGTTAGGTGCTTTACTATAATTAGGGTACATATCAGTCAGGGAAAGTTGTTAAAGGACAACTTAATGGTACAACAAAATATCACAATTATATTAGCTAAGTATAATTTTCTTTTCGACCTCCTTTTTCTTCTGATATTAGTTTCTCATATAATCACACACATTTATTTTATTTCGTGTCATGTTAAGGAATTACACCAATCACTTAATAATTGTATTACCCTTATATAAATGTGATTACTGGTAACCATGACACTCGCTCTACATTGCATTATTACTTTCCAATATATAAATACGCGTCGATCTTAACTATGTTTGTTCATACACTTGTCCCATTCTCATTATTATTATGATTTTGTTCAAGTCTCGAACATTTATCTAAACTTCACAAACCAATGTACATTATATTGTATACGGAGAATTGTAATTCTAGATTGTATGCAACTAATGGAAATCATGAGCTAATTTTATCCTCTTAACCTAGTTTTTCTTGCTCTGTTCAAAAACAATAAATCAATGTTGAATGTCATGAGGGTCCAAATCAATAAAGGCGAAAGAACAAAAAATAAAAATTCGTCTAGAAGTGATTTAGTTGGATGTTGAATCCAGTTGTAAGCAATGCAAAATGTAGAAATATTACACTGAATTATAAATGACTAACTGTTATGAAAGTGACTGTATGTAAAATAAATTAATGTCTATTTGTTTTGAAATCGATGTTTTTAGAATTCAAATTGGTGTAAATATATATTAAAGCAATGATCTGCGTCCCGGGTTGTGTATTTATTGTACTTCTTCGGAATGGAACTAGAATACGTTAAAAATAACCCTAGCGCCGTGCTTTAGTTGTGAATAGCTACACCTTCCGAAAAGCGAGTAATTATTGATAAGATTTGGAGATGTACAGAATATCATACCGCAAATTGTAGGTAACTGTTATACGAAACAAGTTCTGACAAAGCCATAAGAGCACATTCATGTTCCCGACAAACCACTAGGTATATAGGTAGAAAGTAACCAATAAAATATAAGATTGAGCAGCTTCATCAACAGAAGCAACACGTCAGATCTTAGCTATAGCATCTGCCCGTTTATTAAATTCAATATCAGCTCAACTTCCATCTGTGATTCTGGTGTACAACTTTATCTACAAGGTGTATGAACAGCGAACACCTCATTCAAAACCCTGTTCTCATGAGTTAACCTTTCTCAAAACAATATTTGACGATAAGTTTACCCTAACCACAGAAGTACGTTAATACCAACGTTTGTCCAACTTTGAAAACAGAAAACAGGTCGATAATTAGACCACAAGTGAAAATTAAACTACATTAAGAGACTTATCATTTTATATTTCAGTAGAAATTTCTTTGAAACAGTGGAGTATTACATAGAGTACACATCAGAAAATCTCTTCCATCTTAGAATGTTATCATTTAGTTTAATTCTTTTATCCACAAGCTTTATGTACTAACTTTTAGTGTGCAGCTTCTAGAAACTTAATTTCATTCCTAATGTTAAAGATTCTTAACTAATTCTGTACGTTTTCTCTAACCAGTTACATTGCTGGACCAAGTATACATGACGAAGTAAAATCAGAAAGACAAACTCAAACGTTTAGTGAAAAATTTATATCAGATAAAGCCATGCAGTCAAACAAAACTTGAAGCCACATGACAAGTAATAAACTTTGGAAGAATTGTGTTGAAAATTCTCAACTAATCGGTAAACATGCAAACAAAAACTCAAATATGTAAAAAAATTTAAGACCCTAAGAATACATCCAAGATTGCATTCAATGAAGATATTACAAGTTCATTATTTCTCATTCAATGGTTTTATGATGATACTTTCTCACTAATCGTATCACTAATATAAATCATAATATTAATCAATACTTTATCTGATAACTCATCACTTTCTTACAGTTACGAATTAGTTCTAGAAAATGCTGATTATGAAACAGATTTTCACCATATGTCACTGACCTTGAAGGTCATATACTCTAAATTCCACAGTGTACCAGTTCATACTTCTAAAATGAGTACACGATCTCTAGTAAGTGCTCAAAAATCTTCGATAGATGAAAATTTACATGAAATAATCATTTCATATTTTATTGTCTGACTAAATGTTTTAACAGACTCTATCTACAGCATCATTTTCTATTCCAATCACGATAATATTGAATTATCTATAGCATTGAGGGCTGAAACTATACTTATAAGGAACCTTAGAACAATATAGAAGTAACCTTGAGAAACTACAGCCAATTATTCAGCTGAAAATAGGGGTATGGATTATTGTAGTGAATAATAACTAGGGGCTACAGTTAGCAGCTAATATAAGCTACGGTTATAGTTTTCATCACAAACTGACATAAACTATGATGCGAGACTATTTAGACAAATGGGTGAATATATTTCTAGCTGAACTTCAGGGTTCGCTATCTGAAACCTGATTATTTCGTTCTTTGGTTAAAATTAATTTACAAACGCGATGGTGTTTGATGCGAACGATACTGGGTTCGAGTATCAGAGTGAATATCAACTCTGAAATACAGTTACATCTAGCTGGCGAGTCCCATATAGAGTGGAACTAGCATTCTGGATTCGACTGCTAGCCACCATTCATCTTTGCTTATACTTTGAATATGTTTTTAAGAAACTACAATCCTAATAACCTTTCTAATCTATTCTGAATTATTTCACTTCAGACTAATTATTACATTGATAACCATACAGATAATCTTGAACGGTATTGATCAAATGAATTTATTTACATATTTGACAACTAACACTCTACCAATAAAAACATAGTTGAAATTGATTTAAGAACAAGTTATTGTGTAAAATGAAATATATGGCTGATTTATTGTGTACTTTGTATTATTGTAAGCGTATGTGAATGCGAAGTGAATGACTGTATGCAATAAGAAAGTTCTATTATTTGGAGAAGCTAGTGAATTAGTTGGCTGCAAAGAAATTACAATACAATTTCCTGTATCGTGTACTAACAAAACATTGAAAGATATCATTATTGAACAATTAGTCAAGTAATTCAATACAAATGATATTCATTAATCAGATTGGAACCCCTTAAAGATTCGTTAACAGTTGCAATAGATTGGGAGTATACAGATATTAATACAAGTGTAAATCAACTATCCATTGAAGAGATTGAAGAATTTGCTATTTTACCACCGATTAGTGGAGGTTAGAAAATAAAAACCCATTATCATGGTAAGTACTATCTACTGTTTATGTAAAGAATTCTCAATACTTTATCAAAATATCTATTGAACCAATTGAATATTCCAATGTATTTGATTTAATCAATGATTCTTCGATTGGAGCTGTTTCTACATTTTTCGGTAAGTGATAAACATTATCATTTGACAAAATTCAAAGGGATTACTAGAAAATATGATCAAGAAAGAATTGTACAAGCATTGAAATATGAATGTTATTTGAAAATGACTTATTTAGAAATGGAAAAAATTATTAAAAATTCTTATCAATTATGGCCATCATTAGTACATATAATTGTACTTCATAGATATGGGTAAGAAGTGATTTGATTTCTTTTTTGTTTGTTTGTTTGTTTTTTTCTTTCTGTATTATGCTTTAATGAAAATGAACCAAACATCAATCTTAAAAAGTTATGAATATTATTTTCATTGACAAAAAGAAAAAGTCAAACTTTGATTAGAAACAGATTAGATGTTTCTTTTGTTAACCAAAAGTAGGACAAAGGTGTACACATCATGTATCTTATTTGCTACAAAGTAATTACAAAATAGACTTTCGTTATTTTGGTCATGCTTTTAATATCGGGGTTTTGTGATTAGAAATATCCAAATGACAAACTCTTAACTCTACTATGATAGAGCATTAAATGATTGACTTGAAAGTAAGTGGTTGTAAGAGATGCTCCAATATTGTATCTATATGATAATGCTTAATGCTATCAAAAACATTGCAAAAATGTAGTACATTAAGGAAATAACTTGTTTTCTGTTATGTTTCCTATAGCGACCATGATGTGATATTAATGTTATAACTTGTGAACCTGTGTGCCCTGTTTATTGTATAATACAACGATATCCCCAATCAGAGAGCAGCGAATTATCGATCGGATCAAGGACGCGTAAAACACGTGCGAGCAGTCTAGAGTCCTGCTTTCCGCCTAACCCAGCCAGTTAAGTCCAGAACACTAATCTCAGCCTCTGCAATATGAATCATTATATTTCAGACATACTGAGTTTATATACCAATCAAACAGACCATAGCGTACCAATAAAATATGAAACAACATTTGTACAAGAGTTAGCCAGATATGGCTGTGAATGAGGGAGATATTAATTAATAGACAGGACATAACTGAAGAATAGTAAATCGTATAGTAATAGTCTATGTGTCAAATTAAAGCTTATAATAATAAGGACGTGAATATGAACAGTTTAATTACATAACAATTATACGATAAAAATATACTCATAGTATTGGCCCATAAATGGATCCCAAAAGTTACCATTCATTATTCTTATCGGGATATAACAATTAACTGATAATTAACAAATTTCATACAACTTTTCCCATTTATTAATTTGTATAAAGAATTCATTAATTTATTTCGTCGATTCTCTTCAGCTGCTGGTTGTAGTATTTTAATCTTTACTTCTGAGCTTGATGCAACTAGTCTCTATTACATAATTTATCTTCTGTTTCGAGAAGTAAATACATTTTTTTAAATTTCCATACTCTCCTAGAATATTTATACATTTAACCTATAAATGAGTGAACATTTAAATAATTTTATTTCCTTTGGTATTATAGTTACTTAATATTATTCTATCTCCACATTTGAACTCAATCTGTTCTAGACAATTCTGCTGAAAGATATGTACATTTGTTTTATTCATTGATATTATGGTTTTAAGTTATAAAAAGTTGAAGTGAATCTACGAAATAAATGAATTCTCAATGAGTAGATTTTCTGACGTTTCGTGACTTAGTGTAAGCCACTTCTTCAGAAAATCTAATTTTTCTACTCATTGAGATATTACGAATATATATTATTGATTTATAAATGAATTCATGTTATTTTACTATGATATTTGTTATTTCTTTATTTAAGTTGATAATTAACATTTTGAAACTTGTGTACAAATGAAATTTCAGTTAAACTATTTAGTAGTATAAATGACCTCATTTAAAGAAAATATACTCAATACATAGTTGTTTGTTTAAAGAATTAGACATGAAAGAATAATATTAGACCTTGTACAGCATGTATTACACATATCATATTTTTTGGTCATTTATCTCTATAAAGCAGTTAATCAATATGCGAAAGCAACATATATTTTCTGTTCAATAAAATATCATCCTCAATTTTATTAAAATGAATTATAACTAGTATAATCATTTTCAGTAACAGGTTAGTCCTTTTACTTCATACATAAATTTACTTACATTGGTGTTTACACTAAGACCCATATCCAATCCCTTTCGTATTAGACGCTCAATGCATTATCCGTTGAGCTAGTAAATTGAGGTAGCCACAAACGTATTCAAAATATATTATATTGATATCATTTTTAGTATGAGTTAAAGTTATTTCGTCTTCAATATTTTTGACTCAGTTTTGACCAGTTTAAAGTGAAAAGCACTAAGGTATAGTTCTGAATTGAATATCAACACTAGGATGCAGGTACATCAAGGTAACAAATCCCTAAATAGGATGAAACACCAATTCTGATTTTGACTGCTAACCAGAATTTATGAAATGGCTATTAATAGAGTTCTAGTTTCTGTTTTACATACTGTGGATGAATAATACTTGAATAAATATATAAGACTAAAATAAGTTTATCTAGGATCTGAGACATTTAGTTTTATTTCTTATTATAGTTAATTTGACGCATACGGACAGAGCTCACAACTAAATTAACTATATCTCAGATAAAATGCTGGAAAGTATCTACTTCTATCCAATATTTACAAAACGTCTAGGAACTCCCACTAAATAATGGAATTGATTTTAAGTTCAGCCTTTTATAAAATTATGGGACTTTATAACGTAAAAATAATAGTAATCAGTAGTAATAGTAATCTACTCTCTAGTATTGTTTCAATTCAATCAATCAATTTGGAATATAACAACTTAACTAAATAATTTTGCTTTGAAATTCGATTCGTTTGACGTTAATTAGCTAAAGATAGTTGTCAATATGATATGAAAGTGAATTTCTTGAAAATAAATACTCTTTACCATGATATAATTCCAATTTCGAGGTGATCAATACTCTTCATGAGGTTCATATTTAACTCAATCACTCTCACAATGAGAGATATTATTACCATTATTATTATTATTATTATTATTATTATTATTATTATTATTATTATTATTATTATTATTATTATTATTATCAATGGCTTTATTCAATATTATATTTTGGCACAATATAGAATCCTTAGCACAGGTTATTTCAACAAGTTACTTACGCAACAACAAAAAAACACAGTAACAAACGCAAAAAAATGAAAAGGTTTTAAAAAGAAAAACCGAGCTGTTTGTTTCTTGGCTGAAATCTTTAGAAATTAAAAATATTTACCAGTAGGTTGTTAACTAATTCACTAATGTCAAATTATTTATTTACCACTAAATTTACTCAAAATAGTTTTGAACCAGTAATAGACAGATACTATACATATCGCTCGAGTTCTGCTGTTGCTTATTTAACATGTTTTCTAACTAAAATAAATATTTCTTAATGGTATATCATCTACGAAATTCAAACTCATTTTGATTAAATTTTTAGTTTAGATAAGTTTGTGGTTAATTTGACTCAGTAGCTCATTGAGTAATGCGCCAGAATTGTTTAAATGATAAATATCAGGTTTAAAAATCAGGATGAATATAAACACTGAAATATAATTACGTACGGCTGACGAGTCCCAAATATGACGAAAAGTTCAACTTAAATTCCATTGTTAGACATTATTCAAAAATATGATTAGAATGGTTTTGACGTGAATATCTGAAATAAAACTGCCTATATCATACTGTATTGTATGCTACTTATGTTAACAAATATAAGTAGTATGTAATATTGATCAACATGGAATAAATGCCAGCGGAAGATTAAGAAGATTCAATTGAAGTGGACGGAAAGAAAAACGAATAGTAATTGTAATAACAACAGAATTGACAACGGCGGGAAGCACATAAAGGACAACTGACGCAAGATATGCAAATGATGTATTTAATGTACGGTCTTCATGTTTAATGAAAGCACTCCGTAATTTTACACTGAATAACAAATTGGTTCTCCCCATTAAGTATTCATTCACTACAATAGAGTAGAAGTTAAGATTCATTTCTCTGATTAAATGAGTTTTCTAACTCTGATTATAAGCATTATATATCTTAACTATACTGTTGTACTATTGTCATATTCACTTTATTTAGAATTGTTCCTGTAGGAGAAATCAGTGTAGCAATAGCTGTCAGTTCACCACATCGTAAAGATAGTCTTGATGCTGTGAAATATTTAATTGAATCAATTAAATCACAATTACCAATTTGGAAAAAGGTAAACTAAATTCTATAAAATAACTACATAATTATTTCTATCTTTTCGTTGTTAATTAAATAGGAGATTTATGAAGATGGTACATTCAAATGGAAAAGAAATAATGAATGTTTTTGGTTACAAAAAGAGAAATAAGTAAACATCATTAAAATTATTGTAAACAAATGAATTATTTAATAAATCTTCTCTATCAAATTCATATGTTAATTCTATGAATTCATAATTATAATTAAACTTAATGGAGTAAATCAATGCTGAGATCATACATTTATGTTAATATTCATTAGCAAATATGTATTTATGTAGAGTATGAAGAACTAAATGTAACTAACATTGATAATATTAATCAATGGTATTTAATGTGACTTTTCGATTCGATACTTGATGGAAAATGTTTTTCTGAAAGTTCATAAATATTTAGACCTTCAGACTAAGTATTGAGAAAAATATATTGATTATAGCTAAGTAATGAGTATATGAATAGAATTGACAGATTAATTGACCTTTGTATTAGTGAACATAGAACAAATGGAAATGTAGTGATATAGTAGAGAAACTTACTACATTATTATTTTATGTATATGTTATAATGTTGGCGTCCATGAAGTCACTGACAAGTGGACTGAGTCATGTTGGTAGGTGTAGACTACCTGGTTGGGGACCACGAGATGATGGCAACCGATGGTTAGAGACCCTGAATGACATGGCTCAAAATCGTTTGCAATGGCGCAGGTGCATCCACTTTTTGTGCTCACCCAAATTCTAATCTCCTGAATCCTCCTTGTCTCTTTATTTTCTCTTTCCAAATTTATTTCACTGGATTATACTCCTTGAATAACATCTCCAAACCCTAATATATCCGATTACTGCTTATACTCTTACTACCTCTACCACTACGGGATTTGGATCGACAACTGCACCTCTGTGCTAATGTGGTGTGGCAACTCGAACTGATGTAAGTCTGTACGAAGTTCTACGTTGTACTGACTGACTGGCGTTGATTTAATCGCCGGAAACACTCACACTGAATAATCTCAGTCAATGAACAAAACACATGTTGTTTAATCACAAAGTACAGAGGCCAAAAGTATAATATGCAACAGAAATATATGATGTACGAGTTATTATTGTCTTCACTCCTTGATCGATCACTGCTAACTAGTTGAGCATCTCAATACATAACTCTGATCTAATTTTATGTGATTCCACGTGTTCATTTAATAAGTAGTAAAACTCTGAAAATGTGTTGATTCAAAGAAATAAGAAAGAAGTGGAGATTTTAGTTCTAAGAATACCTTGGAATTAAAAAAAAGAATTTTGATGAAGTTTTGTAACTTTTATAGCCAGCATTAAAACCAAGAAGATATTACCACTAATGTAAATTAGTAATGTTTCTAAACGAGTCAGAGCATAACGGTACACCTAAAGTATGCCCCTTTTTAGCTAATCGGAAAATAGAGAAAGTGCATGGTTAATTTATGTCGAAATATGAGAGAATTCACTAAGAGAATCTTGACTAATTATTGATGAACAATTCTAACTTGATCATAGGTTTCTACGCGTTAAAGTCAGAAGTGAGCATCAAAACTTAGATTTCGGAATTAAGGTTTGTTTAGATACATCATCCATACCCTAAAGCCTAATCTTAATTCTAATCCCAACCCCTAACCAAACAATTCGTTTCTATCCGTAATCCTAAGCCTAACTCCCAGTCTGAATCTTAATTCTAAACTTTTACACTGTTTTAATCCCAACTTGAGTCATATCCTCGATCCTAACCAAAAAAACAATGTAGGTAAATATCCCACCTATTCACAATCGTTTCAGTCCTCCATTCACAAACGGGTGATCATTCAGCAGTCCATAGCCTTTTAAATACTAAATGATGTTTTATTCATTAAAATTACATATGAAACAGCTGATATTCAACATTTTCGTTAGATATTTAGGCTATGATATTGATAAGGTTTCACCGGTTATGGTTAATTCGTTAGTATACTTTAAGTTTACCAGAAAGTTGTCTCAAAATTCTATAAGCTGCATACTTTTAGTCGTGCAACCTTTATTATCTTTCTGTGCAACATCATCCCCATGAACCTCAGAACAAAGTGAATTATTAGAACTCTTATCAAGGTGTTTATCACTTGTCAAAAATTCTAATGGCTCATTTCATTCAAGAGCTAATGCTGATGATGCTTCACAGAAAGACAATGAGAACTACATATCTTGCTCAAAGGATGGAAATTCAAAAAATTGAACATAAATAGTTGCTCTCTTCAAATACTTTTGTTATAAAATGGAAGTTTCTTCAAAGTTTGGATTGTTTTACAAAACAGTTAAACAAATGACATTTTTCCCTTATTAAATTTAAAGACATTTATTTGAAACATGATTATTTATTTAAACTAATAACGATTTAAAACATTTTTTCGCGCGAACTCATAACTATGATAATCAAACCAAATGATATCATATGATAAAAAATTAGAGTTCATGTTAACTAATTGACAATATTCAATTCTAATTGATTGATTGAGATCATGAACCGATTGATGTTAGACCACCATTGAAAACCTGGAAGCACTGGACGGCCGTTTTGTTCTATCGTGAGACTCCTCATCAGTGCGCATCCACGATCCCACTCGCGGGATTCGAACCCAGGGTCCTCAGTCTCGCGCGCGAACGCTTAATTAATTGGTTTGATACTATATTTCTTCAATTATTCATTGTCTGTATAATCATGAATAGATCAATGAATAGAGATAGACATATTGAAATTGTGCATATTGATTTATCATGTTAACTGTGAAATTTTTGATATGTTTCTTATGTCATTAAAATAGCGATAATGCAATGAGAAGGCGAAGTTTATCAGAATTATGTGATATATTTGCGCAATACATTTCGAACAATCTGAAATACATATATACTTGTTAAGAACATTTATATATGAAAATTAAAAGCTCAACTAGATAGGTTAAGGGTAGGTCATAAGAAAGGAAAAATAATAGAATACACAAAAACAAATGTGATTACCACTCTGGATAACAAATCACTATTGTTTTTGAACACATAAAGAGGGTTTCAATTTCCATATAGCCAAGGCTTCAATAAACCTTAGTATACGTCTTTGAGAGCTTTTGTATAACACTACAAATGCTGATTTGATGTCAACCTTATGATCCGTCTCAATCAAATGGAGTTCAACCGGGCCTGGTGTGAGGCAGTTATTCACTGAAGACAATGATAGACGGTTGTGCAATGTCGTAGATTGGTTGAAGTTAAACAATAATATTGTTGGATGCCGACTCAGTGGTCGGGCGCGAGATCGTAGGTACTGAGTTCGAGACCCTCATGCGAGATTGTGGATGCTCACTGTTGAGGAATCCCATACAAGGAAGAAACGGTCGCCTAGTATTTCAGGGTTTCCAATGGTGATCTAACATTGTTCGGTTCAACAATTTTCACAACCTTATACTGCTAAATAAAATAGTTCACCTACTTAAAAAATATTTCTTCAATCTCATTACAATTATTCAAATCATCATTCCACCAATATGATGAATAACCATATTTAATTAATTTCACTGTTAAATCTGTCAGCAGCTGATATGAACCTATCGAAATAAAATGAATTCATGTCATTCATCTCAACTCTTTGTTTTCACTTTCTTAAAAAGTATAGTGTATAGTATAGTATAGCCTCTGCCAGGGAAGTCCTACTTATTGCCTTCTCGTGACGGGGGTGTGGTTTACGAAAATGAGAGGACGAAAAGCGAATGTCCGGCGCTTTAACCGGACTCCAAACCAATGGTGTACACGGGCTCCAGTATCCTGCGGGAACAAATGGCGTATGAACCAATCGTTGGTCACTGGCTACCATGGGACTGCATCTCCTTACGATGCCCCACTGCCTTGTGGGTTAGACCTTTAGGTCAAAGGCTCAGGATGTGGCCCTCTAAGATAACCACCTGCTTCGGTCTAGGCACCTGGGCAGTATCACAGCCCACACACAAATATGATGAACTGCCTATAATTTGTGTGGCGCATATATATTGGCGCTCTCTTGTACCAATATTTATGTGTTCAAATAAATAAATAAATAATAGAAGTATATTTTACAATAAAGGAATTCCCTTTTTAAAATCCCCTGTAAAATTACCAGCCAAATAAAAAAAGCTAATATTCTCTTCTTGACACCATGAATTTTACTGAAATATTAGAATAACTTTAAGCAAGATGCAATTATTTTTAAACTTATATCCATCTGTTTAAAAATTCCCATAGAATATTCAAAAACGAAGAATATTTGAGTGAACAGTTGTTTTCAACAACTTCATCATTAGGCTCTACAGTTATAAGTCCATAATTATAATATTTTACAAAGGCCAAAAATAAGGCATGGCATTAATTAATTTGACAATGTTATGTGTTAAAAAAAGGTAAAGGTTTGCATCTGTTACGATATATATAAACTTCAAAATTGTATTATTTGACAAATTAGAAAGGTCATTCAATAAATATCAGGATGATTTGGAGTAAAGCGTCCAGCCACTATCAGTAGAATAGTATTATAGCAAAAATGAAAATGCAAAAAAATTTGTGAATAAAATGCACAGTAGGAAAATTTCATCTTGTCAACTGAAATAATAATAATAAGACTATTGTGTGAATATATGTAATAAGGAGTGTGTTATCAAGGTAATTACGATAAACGAATTGGGAATGATGGATATGAAGATTAAGATAGAGATAATCGAAAATAATGATAATAAGGAAAAAAACTAAATAAATAAAACTAAAGGAAGGGGGTAAGAGGTTTATAATATTCAGTCTAGATATTCAGTGATCCAGTCGTACGCCAAGGTAAACAAAGAGGCTGGATATATTTTTTTCTGGATACATAAATTTGGTTTTCGGGAGTTGATCCAGATGGCTTCGGCTTTGTAAAATATTATAATTATGGACTTATAACTGTAGAGCCTGATGAGGAAGTTAATGAAAACAATTGTTCGCTCAAATATTTTTCCTTTTTTTTTATATCCATCTGTAACATAAATTGTCTTTTTCAATGGACAATGTTTATTATTACTTTTTAAAACAAAAATGAAATAAATCCTACTAAGGAATGTACA